TGAAAGGCTTGTTTTTGCATGTGATGGCACCCAGCAGTCGGAACTTAGCGAGAGATGTCAACAGTTATGGCTATCAGGCCAGGTAGTACCTGCCAAAGATAGCACTCGCTATCTGGGCTTGGTATATGGGCCAGAACGGCCTTTTAGTGCGTGCCGTCAGCAGTTATGTGATGCAGGTCGGTCCGCTATGTTTTCCTTAAGTGCAAAGTTGGACAAAATGAAGCTGTTTGCCCCCGATGTACGAATGCGGTGTTTTGCAACCCAAGTCCGAGCAATTCTGTTGTATGGCTGCCAGGCATGGGGCCCTTTTGCGCTGGCAGAGGTCGTGGACAGGGTGGGAAGACGGCGGGATAAAGCCAACCTTGCGGAGGGCATGTTCGAAGCCTGTTTGAAGGATAGCGCAGTCCAGCTGCAGATTTTATTCATGAGGCAGGTAGTGGGGACGGCACGGCCATCCCACAGGCTGTTGTACGCGGAGCTGGCTGAACTCCCCTTACAATATTACATGGTGAAGCAGATCCTCCGTTTCTGGAACCGCCTTCAAAAGCAAGTGGGATCCATTGCTCATGCTGTTTTACGGCAGGAGATAACCGATGCCCTGACCAACCCAGAATGGGAGGGTTGGGGAATCTCAATGTTACGACTGTTTTCCTTCTTGGAGTGCAACATTTGGAGTGGAATACCGCAAGAAGTCGTGGGGGTAAAGGAGCGTGTTGACTGGTTGTTGAGTAGACCTCTACCCGAAGGAGCGATGATAACGGCACTAAGAGAGCGTTTGATGAGCGGCTGGGACCATACGCGTCTGACTGTCTTACCAGAGGAGTACCCATCAGATGGGAAGCAACCGGGAGTGCAAATGGCGAAGTATAAGCACTGGATGGGGCTGCCCTTTTCGGGAGCCGCAGCCGTCATGTGGCCAACACATGCTAAGGTTTTCATTCCTCGTTTAGCACATCGTAAGCTAATGCAGTTTCGTTTATGTTGCTGGGCTTTGGAGGCAAACAGAGCACGAAG